TTCAGAAGAATCAGCCATAATTAACACATTGAAGTTTTTGTTAAATTACTATAGCCTATCTCATAAAGATCACTCACAATCTTCATTTCATAAAAAGTAACATTTTTGAAAAGTAAGATTAAAAAATCCATTTTTTCTTAAAAAAAATGTCAATTTTGGTCTAAAAAGAATTGGAAAAGTACTAATCGCTGGGAAATTTTCCAAAGAATCCAATTCCGTTCGAATTTTAGAGATATTTCAAAACGCATGCGCAGTCGATTAAAAAAACTACTTTTTAAAATAAATTTATAACTCAAAAACACCTTTTACGATTTTGCTCAAATTTTTAGGAAAAATAGTTGAAAAGCCATACTTTAAAATGATTATTTCGGAAATGTGGGTATTTTGAGTTTTTAGCCATATTTTTGCAAAATAGTGAGATAATTCGATGTTTTTCAATATTTCCTTACGGTTTTTTCCTTTCTGTGCTTATACGCAGCTATATAGAGAAAATCTGAGCCCAAATTTACAATCTTTGGAAAATTTCCAATCAATTATCTATAATGAAACTTAATTTTATTTATTTTAGACAAATTATAACAGCAAAAACAAATACAAGTTATAAGTAAAGAGTATTAAAAATGTGCGCATGACGATTAAGGTGGCCCAAAAAATTTTTTTTCTGTATCCCTTTGCCGAAAGTGCTGTCTTCCCGGTCTGATTTGGAGCCGGGAATAGCGACTTTTGTGGCCGGCTCGACAGACCCAACGAGCGCTCTGATTGGTTACAAGAATTTCAACACACGTACATGTTAGCATAACAACCACACAAACACGTTACTTACAGAGCTCACGTTTTGAAAACAACTGACAGTCATCAAAATAATGCATGAAATTTCTTATTTTCTTTTATTTATTATTATTATATTTTGTATATTATTAAATATTTATTTGTAAAATAAAATTTCTTGTTTACTATTTTCTAAATTTTACTTCCAATTATTTTTTACTTATAATTTTTTTTCATGCCCGCCCCGACCAGCTAAGTCTCGGCTTCGCCCCGACTTTGCAAAAGTCGGGCGGGCAACTTATTCAGCTATTTTATTATTCAAACAATAATTATTTAACGTACTTTCGGCTGGGGATACAGAAAAATTGTATACGACACACGGCCAGAAATTTGGATAACCTAGCGAGCGTGATATATAAAGCCTCGGCTTCGCCTCGGCCTTATATATCACGCCGGCCAGGAAATCCAACTTTCTGGCCTAGTATCGTAATATACTATATTGGAAAAAAGCAAGTAACTCTTGCAATTTATTCCAGTGACAATAAAAATAAATACGTATTTTTTATAAACACAAAATCCGACAAAAAAGTTTAAAAAATCTATATTACACCACAAAAACACATTAAATTATAAATATCCAAAAAGGGGAAACTTTGGGTAGTGCTGTAGAAGGTAGGGGTGGTAAAAATTGAAAGTTATATAGGTCAAATTACTTGTCGGAGAGCTCTCTATAAATCCTAATAGCTTAATGTTAACTTTTTTGAAACTCTTGCAAATGATTATGATTTTTCGAAAATTGAAATTTTTCCCATACATTTTACATAAAAAAATTGAAGTACTCGGTGGCACCTGTTAATATCAATATTTATTCAAATAAAAAAATACGTATTTATTTTTATTGGCATTGGAACAAATTGCAGGGGTTTCTTGCTTTTTTACACTCAAAAATTTTTTTTGGCTACCCTAATCATCATGCGCACATTTTTAATACTCTTAATTATAACTTGTATTTTTTTTTGCTGTTAAAATTTGCAGCCTTCGCACTCTTCTACTAAAAGCTACTATTTGCTAATTTTTTGCGCCTAATGCTACTAAAAGCTACTTTTCTGAACAAATAGTCAAATTTCGATTTTTAGTTTTCACATTTTCATTTAAAAACAGTGTTAAAAACTAAAATCGTTCATGAAAAACGACCGTCAATAATATATTAGGAAATAATTTTATTGACATTTACTCTATCAATAGTGACTGATTATAAATTGTGTTTAGATTTTCTTGCAAATGATAGTCTTTAGATTTCCTGTTTTTCCCGGTTTTATTTTCTCATCAAATTTAAATTTATTTGATTTCGAACATAAATAAATCTACAAATGGTTTCAAAAATTTGTGTTAGATTTTCTATGAATAATTAAATAGTTTTGACGAGTTTCTTCAATTTTTTTGCAAATAATGTTTTTTTTAATAATTTTAATTTCAAATTTGGAAAATAATTGAATTAAACAAAGAATTTTTTCAATTTTTCAAAAAAAAATCTTGTCTGTTCATAATTATAGGGGAACATAGTCTAGGTCGGCCACCTTTTTGACTTTTGTTTATAACTTTTTTTTAAAAATGAATTTGGACAATTGAAGTATATGGTTGGAAAGTCCTGTTTAATAGGAACATTTTTTCTGTACAAAGTAAATTGACAGGTTTAAAAATGAAAAAGTTATAAAGATTTAAAAAAAAAAAATTTGTAGTCCAGGTTGGCCATTACAGTCAAGGTCGGCCATTTTTAAAATTCAAAGGGCATTAATCGTTAAAAAATAAAATAACATGTTTGGAGTTACGGAAAATTGATTCTTTATTGTTTACAGTTTGTAACTTAATGAAATAACAAAATAATAACAATAAACAATATAAAAAAATAAATATAAATAAAAAAAAGTTTTGCACTAAAATATTTATAAAATTAAATAAAAATATTAATAAGATGATCAATTATATTATGAGTTATACAGAATTGCAGTTTTTGCAAATGAAGTAGCTCGTCCTCAACTTTGCGCATTTTAAACACATAGTGGCCGACCTTGACAGTAAGTAACATTACCGAATTGTTGTAACCATAAAGAAATACGTTTCGGGATTCGATTTTTTACTTTGTTTTCCTTTCAACCATGAGTCCCACAAATTTTCTGCATACTTGCCTTGACGATTCAATTTGTTTTTTATCTTTTATTCATGGTTTTTCACATTATGCACAAAACTTTTTTTGAGCTTTTTTTGTACCGACGTCACAGAAAACACAATTTTCGATTTTCCGAAAATGTAATTGAACAAAAAGTAAGGTTTCACTAAGACAAGCTTCGACAAAAATGCGCGTAGGTGGCGCTAGTGAACTTGACAAAAAAACGCGAGTGGCCTACCTAGACAGTAGGCCAACCTTGACTACATTCCCCTAATTGAAAATTTGATTAATTCAATTTCATTAAAATTTTTGAAAATAATTGAAAATTGTAGAGAACAATTTAATTATTTATAAAGATAATTGAAATTTCGAGGATAAACTCTATTTTAAATAATTCAATTCCTATGAAATTTTCATTTTTTTAGAAAATAATTGAATATTCGTGTAGAATTTTGTCAAAATTGTTTTTAAGTAATTGAATTCTTTTTGGAAATTTTATTAAAATAGTAGACATACAAATTCTTGAATGAAGAAAAATTTTTGAAAACAATTAAATTCTTGTGGTGAAAATAAATGAATTCTTGTTATTTATAAAAATAATCGAACTTTTGCAATTAATTTTATTTAAATTCTTGAAAATAATTTAGTTTTATCGAAATTTTACTATTTATATGAAAATAATTTAATATATTGCGAATTTAAAAATAAAATTATAATTATACAGAGACTAACTTCCCTTGATTATTTTCAAAAATTTTAAATAAAATTCTTTAAAAGAAGTAAATTATTTGTTGCAGAATGTAAAGAAATTTCAATTACATTAACAATTTTCAATTATTTGTTTATAAAAATTCAATTATCTTGAAATAACAGAATTAAAAAATCTTATTTTTCAAAATTTTCAAAAAAACTTTGCAAACATTCAATTTTATTAAAAAATTTGAAATGTGTATCTTTTAAATTAACTAATAAAACCCAAGTAGCACGTAATATTGGGAACATTTTAGCAATATGCCACGACATTGAGGGAATATTGGTAATGTTAAGGCAATGTTCTCAATATCGCTGTAATATTGCGTGCTACTGGGGAAAATTTCAATTATTAATCTTCGCACTTAGAAGCATGAATTCATTAGGGCCAAAATAAGTGAAACCGGCCGCTTGAAAAATTTTTGTCTCTAATTTTTAAGGTATCTATGATTTTTGGTCGATATATGAGTACACTTTTCCCCCCTAAAATATTTTTAAAAAAAAATTTTTATTTTTGAAGTAATCAGGTATTGAAGTTTTGGGTCATTTTATTTTCATTTTATTATTACTTTGAAACAAATAAAGATAATTGAGTAAATTTTTTTTAAATTAAAGCTTAAAGTCTATACTTTAAAGATGAAATGAAGCGATTGCTAAAAAATGAAAATTTATAATTGTTATTAACAATTCTTTTAAACAATTGTAAATTGAAGAATGTTCTCAATGTTTTTGAAAGATTAAATTACGATATATTGATGCTCAAAACTCCAAGGATTAATTTAAAAAAAAGAAAAATCAGTAACCTGATCCTAACATCCGTCATTCTTCTGTTTCGTGTCAGTTGCATTTTTGGATTCGAATAGGTATTCGGTACAGACCATCGGTTTGTAAACTTCAACATTCATCCAACTTTTCCTCCTGGGGCAATGCCAATTGTTTATAAGATGGTTCGTTTTGAAATGGAATGCCCCATACATATGTATTTTATATATTATATATATATTATTATATATTCTTCCGTGTTCTAGAACTAGAACATACTCGTTCGATGACAGTGTTCACAGGGAATGTAAAATATTAATAAAATCCTATACAATGGGGCAAAATCGAACCTGCGACCTACAGACTTATAGACTAACACTCTAACCACGTCAGATACAGACAAATTAAAACAGTAAAAATGAAAATCAACTCCAAAAGAGAGTTAATCTCTTTGTTAAATTTATAATAACCATATCTTACCTGTATCGTGTCTTATTAATCTTTTCAAACAGGAATGGCGGCAATTGTATTGTGTGAATGAGTATAGTCCTGTCCACCTGTCCTCAATGATGCGCCAACTGACAAAAATCTTTAAACGGCTATCTGTAAAAAATTAATCATTTTATATATTACATTTGGAATTCGTAAAGTTAAAATGATAATTTGTACGTTAACATTTCTAACCTGAATATTGAAAATAGTAGACTATATAAAATGCAACACACTGCTTTAAAAGAAAACAGATATTAGACATAAAGTAACTTTCGGTTCAGTTTTCGGGTATATATTGTAACGCTTTTTTCTATACATTATTATAAGCAAACTAAATATGGAACATTAATAATAAACAATCATTTGTAAATCCAAAATAGTCCTGAAACTATAATTTTAAAGTTACTGTAACTAAATTCTAAGACAACTTTACATACTCAAAATCTAATTTTAACCGAATTTCAATATTTAACCAAAGAAAACGTTACTTGTGCAATCTAGTTCTTTATAGTTTGTCTAGGCGGTCCCCGGTAGGGCGCCAGACAACTTTTGTATCGCCGGTATTGTCAACCGGACTAAAACATAATTAATCAAAAATCATTAAATCAAACATTACTCAATACTCAATTAAGACCGACTAAACAAACATTAATATTAACTAGATTTTTTGCACGTGCCGGTACTAGTCAGCTATGCTGGTCGTGGAGAGAGGGGTGAGTTTTTTATTTAAGAAAGGGAAGGTAGTTTAAAACACAGTGACGGAATTATAAATAAATTAACAATTGATTAGATAAAAATAATTAAGTATATTGTACCAACGAAATTCAATTGACAAGTTACAATAAATAGTGATGATCATTTTGTCGTTTATAATTAATAATTAAAATAATAAAAAACCATAAGCAGAATTACTTGAGTATTCTGGATTATAACAAAGAACCATAAATAATATAAATAACTTACAGATTTTGTATCGATGATAAGTTGACTCGTGATAGGGATCATGATTTCATTTTACACTTTTAATTTATTATTTATTAAAGAAAACATTAAACTAATAATTAATTGGAATATTAAACTCACTGTAACATATTATTTAACAATTCGAAACCATAAAAGAATTAAACTATAACTAAACTAGAACTGATTCTAAATCTATTACATTTTTACTAAAACCGGAGAAATTAACTAACGATGTTAACACAACAAGGGATCGATGACAAGAGAGAGATTCAAAAAGGTTTTTCAGAATTATTTTAATTTGAAATTAGTACTGTATTTTGGCGTTAGGTGACTTATCGGTATTCTCGATATTTTCATACAAAAAGGAGGTTTTCTCCTACCTTGCTTCTCCCAGAATTCTGAATTACTAATACTATGATACTTAAACTAAAACGACTTTTCCTATGGCAAGATTGCGACCTTCTAGACCATAGGAACCTGTCAATTAACCCAATAGGAGAGCTTCTTTGCCAAACGAAGTCGCTTTCGTTTGACAAAGCCTGCCAACTCACTAAAACTAAACTAATTTATCAAAATTCCTTAATGTGGAGCGCCAATGTTTCAATTGGACTTCTGCTAAGTGTAGAATAATTATTTAAACAAATACTAAAACAAACACTGTAACAAATTTACTTTAACAAAGACAATTAATATTACCAAAATTCAAATACTAGAAAAAATGTTCTCAGATTAGTGTTATTGTGACGTAAATCGTAAAAATAACGTCACAACTCGCCTCTCAACGGAAAGATTATTGAAGGGAAAAATATACGTGAATAAATATCCTCTAAAATCCGGACACCAACTATTCTGAACTTTAAACGGTTATTGGCATAACAAGAAATATAAACGAGACTCTATTACTATAAAACTAAATTTCACAAGGTGCACTCCCGATACCGAGCTAACGCTCTGGAGGTTCGAAAAAAAGGGACTACTCTCAATTGACTACTTAGGTTTAAATAGTAATGAAAATTGGGGATTGGAAGTATCGGTTCAGATAAGACAACATAACTTTTAAATTCAACACCAAGTACTTTTTATCTCAGAGACTGAAATCTAATGGTACAAATAGTATGATAGCAATGGATGTTGTATCAACAATGGTCATAGGGACACTGGGCTGGATTATTAGTGAAGTAAGGGACAATAATATATTGAAAGTTATAGTGAATTAAGTGAATTAAATGAAGTGGTGAAAATTATCTTATTTTATTATGAAATTAGGACTTAAAGTAGGTACGTCCAAAGGCAACAGAATCCAAGTCTGCGGAACAGAAAATTATGAATATGGAGGCGTTGCTTTAGATTGAGAAGGAAAATTCTTAAGTTTGTTTAAAATGAGGGTAATGAAAATTATGAAAAATATTACAAAAGCAAATTGCGTCCAGAAATGTTGCAAAGATTTACTTTTAAATTAACACACTTGTACTGTAACGTAAGTAAAACGAAAACAAATTGCTTCCAGAAATGTTGCAAAGATTTACTTTCAAATTAACGCACTTGTACTGTAACGCGTCGTTCCGACGCCTTGTCACCAAATTTTCAAAAGATTTAATAATAATAATTGTGTTAATCACAAAAGAGAAAGTTATCGTAGAAATCATGGGATTCTATCACGAGTCATTACAATGTGACAATGTGGATTTAACTGAAGTTACAATTCTCTGAGTCAGGAAAATTTGTAACACAAGGAGTGTTCTCCCCCCGTCAAAATTAAATAACATAGTGAATATACGGTGAATATGAAATAGAGTGAGAAATGAGTAATTATAAATTAATATCAAGTGAATATGAGTGAAGGTCAATATAATTAAAAATTAAGTGAATTATAAGTGAATATAAGTGAAAAATGAGTGAAAAATTCAAGTGAATTATAAGTGAATAAGTGAAGAATTCAAGTGAATTATGAGTGAAAGATGAGTGAATATAATTCAGTTAAAGTGGGTGAACAATGAGTGAGAATGAGTGAAAATTGATGAAAAATGGGTTAACAATATTCTTATTTTTATAAACCTAGCACTAGCCTGAACGGTGTCGCCGGTACGGATGGTGGTGGTCCCTGGGGATGTTTGTTCCATACTTCGGGACGTATGGTCCCATCGCCGCCCATGTTTTTGCGTCTTTCGGGCAGGTTCTTGCGGTGTAGTTCCGTCAGCCACACATTTGGCAAAAAATGGTCCTCGGGTAAGGGCAGTCGCTGAAGGTGTGTCCCGGCCTCTGGCAATTCCAACAGAGGCGTCGAGGGGCTGGAACCGGTACTTGGTCTGGTTCTGGTCCTGGTGCTCGGCTTGGAACTGGTTCTCTGGATGGACCTGGAGCTGACCTTGGTAATGGGATAGAAGTTGGTCTTGGTGCCGATGTGCCTAAAACCGGTTCTTCTCTACTATTCCGGAAGCACGTGGGTTCGGGTGGCCAGATGCGGGTACCTTCTTTTACCCTTCGACGTGGAGCCCTTCTCCAGTGTTTCTGCCCTCGTTGTTGGAAACGCGAATCTGAGTGGTAACTCGACGAGTCACCCTCCGTCCACCAGTCAGGCTCTTCATCGCGTTGCCTCTGCTTCCGAAATTTGTCGAACGGGCCTTCCTTACTTTCTGAGTCCGACGAGACTGACTCACACTCCATCGCCGCTGTAGAGTGCCCAGGCATTGGTTCCCTAGATGGTTTTGGGAGGGGTTCCGGTGAAGACTCCGGACAGGCTCCCTTCCTCGTTTGGGTGGCGGTTTCTTTACTGCTGGACACGGTTTGTGTTGTTTGGTCGTGCATCACAGGATCCGGCAGCGGCCAGTCCTGCACCTCGCCTGCAAGTGCTGTTCTCCCAGCTAGGTTGGTCCGCCATCGGATGGGACACTCGGTGTTGTCTCGGTGGCTGCACCTCAACACCATCTCCTGCAGCGACCGGAACAATCCTGGCTTTAATTGCTCTAACCATACCACTGATGGCAGGAACGGCCGAATGGGATCCTAGAAAGAGTCCTCCTCCAATCTAATCTCCAGTTCCTCCGGCGGTCCCTGGATTTCGTCTGGACCTTCGATGTCTGGCTCGGGCGAATTCCAAGGGGGTGGTGTTGGAATTTGGGGAATCTCTTCGGGTTGGTTTTCGGGTGCAGCTACTCGAGGTTCCTCCTCCATTGGCCAGTCCCCATTTTCCCGTTCTTCTTCCCACATATCCCCATTGTACTCCATTTCCGCCTCATCTCTCGGTTCACCCATCTCTATCACCTCGATGCTTGAGGAGCTCGACGAATTTGGTGACGATGGCGGCCGGATGTCGTCCTCTTCCTCTCCAAGAAGGTGGCTATCGAGGCTGTCTATCGTCGATAGGTCGTCCTCCGAGTCGGAGATTTGTAAAATCTCTGCCTCATCCTTTTGACACGCGGAGTCGGGTGGAGGGTATTCCATTATAAGTCTGTAACATTCTTTTATTGTAATTTTCGAATACACTTACAGGATCCACCACCTGGACGGTAACAAAACGACTTTACTGTAACGTTTACAGATGGACTGTAACTTTGTTAAAATACTGGAACACTAGATTATACTGTAACTTATTCTGGACATGAATGTCATACCAAAATACCACATTTGGAATTGGTGTACAGGAACACAAGAAACACAAATATAGACAAGTACAAAGACAAACGTTGAAACTCGATGTTGAACATACTGAGTCCTGAGGAATACTGTAACGTTAATTATGTAAGACATTTTAAATTCTGTAACGATTTTTGTTAAGTACTGTAACTAATTTATTACTTTAGGTTAATCTGGATTATCTTGGAGTGGTGCATGGTAAGGTTTTAGGTCATGTACCGAAAACTTTCCCATCGATTGCCCCTGTAAATCTTCTAGAACATAAACCACATTTGATATGCGCTTAGTGACAATAAAGGGACCGTGAATTGCATCTGCTAGTTTCGCCATGAAGTGTCTATCTGCAGACGATAGCACGCGTTGCTTTTTCCATACTAAATTACCGACTTCGTATCGTTGGTCGCGTCGTTTGCGGTTATAATAGAGAGATTGTTTTTGGAAGGCACTGTCTAGAGCGTGAACGATACTACTTCGCAATTCGTTAAGCTGTTGCATTCTTTTAGACCAAGTTAGTG